CTCAAAGTTCATCAATAACAGTGACCCATCAACGTCGACAGCTATCGATTCCAGCTTAGCTGTATGAATTTCTTCGAAACTTTGTGGAACCATAAGAATGGCAAGCGAGAATCCCGAATAGAGCGTTCGCTCGGATTTACCCTATCCTCAACGCGTGGAAGTTGCCGCTTGTTATCGGAGACCAGCTTTGTGACGTTTTGAGGTGAAGCCACCTGAAAAGCAGTGCGGTAAAAGGCTGGGTAAAAGTTTCGGGAAAAATTTGAGAGCGTTTTCCGTACAGAGGGCTCGTGGTGTAATGGTTAGCATGGAACTTCACAAGCTCACGACGGGGGTTCGATGCCTAATAAGACGGCCTTTTTGCAGACTAACAGATAAGTCAATTACTGGCATTAAACTGTCAATCAGACAATGGGACCAGTAGGACTGCTCTCAATACCAGGATAAAAAGAGACCAAGGAACTGCTGAAACTATTTTCGCTCTTTTTGAAGTGCATATAGGAATGAAAAGACTCTAAAAAGGGGAATTTCATCAAGAATCACGCTATTCAAATATTGTCTAATTGTGCCCCTATCCTTTTAAACAATAACTACTGTGTCAATAAAACTAGTACAGTAGCGAAGTTGAGTTCCCTTAGTTGAGTCGACGTGTGTTCATAGATGTTCTAAGGGGATAAAAGGACCTATAGAAGGAATTGGATTGATGAGCTTAGAGATTTCTAAACTCAGGTCAATCAGCTTGTACTGAGTACTATTGTCAAGCACAGCGCAAGCTTTAAAAGCATTTCGGAATCTCCATCGACTCACAAAATCTTCTTTACCACTTCTATCTTCTGTAGTTCTCAAAGCAGCCTCTACCATAGCATATTTGGATGGCAATGCGGCTCCAAAACAGATTCGCATTTGCCTGCCTAAATTTTATTATATTTACGTTTCATGATGATTGTAGATCAGGTCGTTGAGGGTGGTCAATTTTCCAATCATTGAATTTGGCCGCCCGTATTGACTCCGCACCATCCGGCCGCACAGACCCTTGCTTACCTTGCTTCATTTTCTTCTATTTTTAAGTGTTTCAGATAGCTTTGACTCCTCAATCGTAACCCTAAGCGCTAGTGCGTAGAGGGGAAGGCGGTGAAAATGTAGTTGGGGAGTGTCAGAGCCCATTTGTCCTCTGCGTCTCTGATACCGGCGGCAGAGTGCATAGAGATCGCACAAATGGTAAGAAATGGAGAGACGCAGAGCACAAAAGGGCGCTGGCACCGAGTGACGGTACAGAGCGGAATGTATCAGAGAGCATCCTCCGAATTCTGCAGAATTTCTGCAGACAATACATTTTACTTCACGGCATAACCTCATTTGAATGCCCAGATTTTCACCCGCCACATATCCGACGCATGAAAAAGGGACTCTGGGCAAGGACACGCAGCGGATTTCTTGCAGCTAGGGGTCACGTGGTGCATTTTTGAAAATGGCGCGCAAACAATATCGCGCTCCAATGCCAGAGGAATAGAAGGGAAATAACTGAAACCGCTACGCAACCGCGCGCTGGCGGCGATAGATGCTCTCCGATGCGTTCCGCTCTGTAGCACCACTCGCTGGCACCCGCTGACTACGCTTCAAAGTGAGTGATGCAGGTTTTGCCTTATTAAGTGTCTCAGTCTCTAAAAAACTGGTTTTCCGATTGTAGGGCAGTGCCTGAGCCAGGATAGCTCCTAGAGGAACACGAGGCACCCTACAGCTCACTATCACGGAGCATTCCTCCATACTTTAAAAAATCTCATGTTTTTAGACCATTCCGATATCGCAATATTTCCTCGACTTACTCTGAACGCAATTTGATTTTTGTAGAACTTCGCGTAATGTATCGTTATATAGAAAGTGATGCTGTTCTATAATATTTGTGCAGTATTATTACTATAATATTACGTTGGTGCACACGTTTGTTGCTTCCACAAATTTAGATTTTGCAGAATTTAGATTACTCTTTGTCGCGCCGTCGGTGACGTCCCGCCGAGGCCGATCGGCATCGGTGGTTGCTCGGTAGGGCGTCTCCGGCGGCGTGAGCTAGGTGACGGGGGTCTTCTTGCCGCTCACCATGCTCGTATTCAACTGCCACACGGGCGTAGGCCTGAGGCTGCCCCATTCTCCCTTGCGAGCTCCTACGGGCTGGTACTGCCTACGCAGTACGCTGCGGCGTTGCTAGCCCGGCGCCGAGCTCCCTCGGACGCTGGGCGCACAGTCCAACCAGGGCCTACGTGGGTTATCCTCTGCATGCCAAAGATAACTGCGGTATAGATGATGTTGTCAACATTCTACGCATTATCAGCACACATTGTATTATAAAATACGCATTTTATAGTAAACTACATATGATACGAAAAGGATGTTTTTCATGTGCATTTTCGAAGCTCTTGATACTCCACTTTATTGGTTAGCTTTCGGCATATAATGCCTTCTTCAGACCTTAACTTTACAATACATAGTTGCAAACAACAGTCAACAATCAGTTACTACATAGAACACATCGGATCCTATCAAACCTACCGGAAATGTTGGGGAAGAGGGGAGGGGAGTGGACCTATTGGCGGGGAACTTGAAAGAAAAATGAGACCGCTCTTCTCCTGAGGCGACGGAGCGTTATCA